TAAGCAAAAAACTGCTCGAACTAAAATTCGAGTTTCGGGCCGTGCACTGTTAAGCCGAATCTTAGAAAAATCATAACTTTCTCATACGAAGTCAGATTTGGGCGTTCTTTTTATGGATGTTCTCGGTTTAACATATAATACAACTTTGGTTTAGATCACTAAGGCTAAAAATTCCTCCATCATAAATTCACTATTTACGTCTCCCGGTGCCGTGCCGGTTTTGCCGTAAAACTTCGGCGGGCCATAACTTCTTCATTATAACTCGGATTTCGGCGTTCTTTATATGTACGGAATCCTTGTTTCGACCACTACAACTTTATGTAAAGATATCGGACTTATCTCACACTTTAATTTTGACGCTTATTTTTATTCTTTATTAATTATATCTTTATAATTTAAGTAATAAGCACACAAATACACATAATTCTCATGGAATTCAAATATTTCATCTTTATTACCTCAAAAAGATTTACAATAGTTGACCTAGACTATTACATTGTCTAAAAATGCTTAGACCCGAAACCCGGGCGTTACATATTCCATACTAATAAAGATCAAGATTGGACAAAAAGGTGTCAACTTTAAACTAAAACTAGATCCAAATAAACTACTCATCAAGGTTGGAGCTTTATACCTCCAAAGGAAGTACAAAGGGAAGTAGATGCTAGATCTAAGGCCTTGAGTGAAACATTACAACCTCAAGGTTCTTCCTTCTTCTCCAAGACCTCCAAAATGACACCAAAAGGCTCTTCAAGCTTCATAAGGCACTCACACACTTCAGGGTTTTGAAATAAGGAAAGGGTCTGAAGATAAGAGGGTGTATGAGGCCATAAAGATGCTTAAATGGGGTCGAAACCCTAAAAATTAGGGTTTGCATCCTGGCTACGTACGCCAATCATACGCACACAAGGCCAAATAATTACGAAAAAGCCATTGGGGTCCAATCTTGCAAACAAATCATAACCCAAGGTTCAAAAGAGAATACCTAGAAAAAATTAGATGTTACAGGGGGATACATGTGCTCAATATTTCATTTATGCAAAACACTCTTGAAAACATACTACAACAAGTTATCATTTTATGTGAAAATGCATCATACCTAGTTTATAAATGTTATTTTGTCAAGTAACACTTAATTTACAAATACACTAGTCATAAATATGATATATGCATGTGTTATAGTTGTTTTAAAATGATACAACTAGTCAAGACAACTTACTACAAAATACTATGATTTTATAAATCTTATGTCATTAAAAGATTACCACCTTTGTAGTATTACAAACTTATATCATGTGTGTGTGTGTATATATATATATATATGTATATATATATATATATATATATATATATATATATATATATATTATAACTTAAAATTTATACATGAACTTGTGATTACTACTATGAGATCTACCACTTATTTAAGCGAGTATTTATCACTTTCCCGTATACATACTTATCGAACATACTCGGCTTTTATAAACTTTATGCAGCGTAAATCATTTTGTCTAGTGACTTATCTACGTATAAGTTAGGGCTGAGAGTTGTTTTGTAACGTCCCAAAAATAATTAACTTAAAATTTTGTTCTTAAGTTAATAAATCGTTAATACATAGCATTTCCATGAAACCAAAGTGATTCAGAATTAACAAAACATTATCAAATCAGAAAAAAACACAGAATATGGAAACATATGGTGTGTGCTCTACAATCATCCCGGGCCATTCCTTTTGAAAATCGAAGTACCTGAAACAATAAACTGAAAACTGTAAGCACAAAGCTTCGTGAGTTCCCCAAGATACCTCATACCATACATAACAAAACATATAATAGGCCCCGCCCGGTCATTGAGTTGAGCTCGCTAGTAAATCGGGCCCCGCCTGGTCATCGGGCCTTAGCCCGTAAAGCATATAAACACATACATATGCCATAGTCACGAAGACAGTTAGCATACTAACATAACATGAACATGGGTTAACATTGGTGCCTTCGACCCGCTAAACCCAGTGGGGAAGCTCACCTCGCACTGCTGAAGTCCTGCGAATAAATCTCTCGCTGCTGGCTGACAGATCCCCGAACTGTCAACATCAAAACAAAACCCAATTAACAATCTAGGTTTCGATGCATAACCATAAATCCACACATGGGGTAAAAATACCATTGTACCCCCTAACCTAGCTTGGTCCAAGACCAAGGCCCAAACTCACACTCTGAAGACTTAAAAGCCAAATAATCAACCAAGGCCCAACTATGGCCCAATTTTCTAAATTGGTCCCAAACCCCTTACATGGGCCTTACCCTAAAACCCATCCAAATATCCTAGTCCATACACTTGTTCTTAGGTGGCCCATTAAGAATTCAAACACCTAAGCCCAAACGAAAAGGCCCAACTCGAGCCCATACACAATTAGGGTTTTCACATGAAATGACAATTAGGGTTAAGTAAAAACACTTAACCCGTTAAGGAGTTAATCCATTAAGTCCACCATCCTACTAGGTCAATCATACGATGTCGTCAGGCATAATTCATAATTCAATTCCAACGGTCCAAAATGCGGGTCCTGGCAAGTCCCAAACAAAGGTTTCCAAGATTTGAGTTTTCTAAACCCTAATTAGGGTTTCCAACCCAAGAACATGCCGACTAAGTCCAAGATTAAGCTATAGATCTGATTAGGGTTTCACCAGGCCGGGCACCACCAACAACAGCGGCAGCCACCCGCGCACGGCGACGGTTTGAACAAAAATTCCATTAACCAAACACACATACAATCTGAACATTATCAACACACACCAAATCACACACACAACCACTTCCTCACGGTGGCTGGTGGCGGCAAAAGAAGGAGGCTTAGCGTTAATCATCATGGTTGGCTACCATGGTTGTTCGCCTCACCTCCGGCCAACATAACCCTCCTCCGCATGCTTCACGGGTTCTAGTAGCAACACACACACACATACATAACACGAGACCACAAGCTCTCAACCACCGACTGGGCGGCTGAAGACGCTAGAACAAATAGAAACGACGACCAAGGGCCACCGGGTACAGCAACGACGTACACGATGTCAAACATACCGAGAGGAACAAAGGAGAGGAGAGAGGAGTGGTGGTTAGCCTTACCGGGAACTTCCTGGTCGCTTACGACCCACACCACGACGAACACAGCTCCAAACGTCGACCTCGGTGGCTCTTCCGGCTGCCCGCGACGTCCGGCAGCAGGGACTGTTATGGAGGCATTCAACGGAAAGTTAGCAGGATGTAGGGTGGCGGTCGGACTTGGCTTTGCAGGCGACGACTGAGAAGCTTCCAAGATGGTGGCGGCTGAAAAGAAAATGAGCTAGGTTTAGGGTTCGGTATTCACCAAAACGAGAGGGAAGGGAAACAGGTTTAGTTCCCGTGTTTTTTCTTTCAAACATGAGCTCCAATTCCAAGTTTTGCCCTCCTCCACAAAAAATTTCAACTTAAGTCCCATATATACCAAACACCCCCTTACTTCTAAAAATCTTTACAAACCAAATCCATAAATTACACTTAACCCCCAATATTCAAAAGTTATGACATTTAACTCCCAAAACCAACGCCTTGCTAAATTAATATGGATTTAGGGCTTCAATCAAATATAATTTACATCTCGGGGCTTAGGGTTTATTTATTTACTTCTTTTATTTATTTAATCTTAAACGAAATGTTACATGTTTGTGTACATAGTTAATGGCTTTTATAGTGAGACGTTATTCATAATCTAAGCATAAACACTTAGCATATCCACACGACTATAACCGTAATCCTTAGAGCGAGATACGTATGTATAGATCTATACGGGTTGACACCCCCATCTGCGATTGGTAGCTACAACCTCGACAGATCAATCGAAGCGGGTGACAAATATCTTAGGTTGACTCCACAATGTCCAATGAAGCGTTGTGAGGGGTACATCTAGTCACATAGCTCAGTTATAAGACTCACTATAACATTAACTTGATCTCTCTCTCTCTCTCTCTCTCTCTCTCTCTCTAGAAACTACGGATTTAGTTTCTCTTTATACAAAACATTTTTAAGTATGGTTTTACTTACAAAAAAAAATACTTTTTGGTCATTTTAAAAGCATCACTACATGTAAGTCTCACCAACCTTGTATTGACCCTCAAAACTACATGTATTTTTAGGAAATCAATAAACAAACATTTCAGACGACAGAATAGTCATGGATTTCGGGTGACCTAGTTTTTCTAGTTTTTGTTATATACGCCTAGTTGTTTAAGGCAATTTATGTACTTTATTATTATATATAAGAACCTTATATTCAAACTTCAAGATGAAATACAACTCCTGTTTTGTTATTGTTGTATTGTTTTATTTATTCAAACTTCAAGATGGAATACGACTACTATGGAAGGGTTCAAGTCATGTTTGGAATATATATGTATTTAGAAATTAGTTTAGAAATAAATTTGATTTGCCATTTAGTAAAATAAAAAATAAATAAAGAAATATAGAAATACAAACTTGTTATGGTTTCAATACTCGAAAAAGCTTTGTGAAAGACAAATGTTTTAGATAAGAGGTTGGTTAAAAAGACATCTCATATTGTAATATGGACAACCTATTTAATTTTTTAAACCTAATTAATTTTTTAAATATTTTGATTAGCTAAAATTGTATTGTTTTCCAAAAAAACTGATTAAAAACAGTTAATTATTTGTTGATTTTTTATAAAAATATTAATAAGATGTTTAACACTGAGAAAAGTAAATAAAAGAAAAAAGTTGTCATACATTGGAATCCTACATGCGTCAGCATAGATTACGTCTCTTTCTAAAAAAGCAAGTTTACAAACACACAAAGATATTACAAACACTCAAATATATTATAAAAACTATAAATGTCGGTGTTTCATCGTAAGAAATATTCAACACACATTAATGACATAACAAAGCTTGTAAATGAAAAGTGTCTTCAATTAATTCTCACGAATGATAATTTCAAATGTGTCACTTTTAGACCATTTGATGAGCTTCCAAGCCGTCCATGTTGAGCTCGTCTTCCATGTCATTTAACTTCTGGAAGGCACGGAAGTTAGATATGGCTACGACCCCAAGGAGTACACATATAATTACGTATCTAATCCAATCAAGTTTGTTAGGGATGATTAAGACGAGGACGAGGGAAACAGGGGTGAGGATGCCAAAGAAGGAAAACACTCCTTTTAGGATCATGTAATGAACAAGAGAGAAGTCCTCCATTGTTGAGTTTTGCAACCGATGGTTTATGTAAAACAGGACTCCTGAAGTGGCTGTAGCTATGCATAAAGCAAGAACTGATAAGTTCATAAAGAGGCCACTTGTTTCAAAAGGAGAATTTTGTTGGTTTTGAAACTTCAATTGAAGAAGTGATATGATTGGTAAGTAGATGGTTACAAGAGTTGCAGTGTACATCAGATACAAGATTGCTGAGTAATCATGAATCCTGAAATAAAACACAAATATCATCACATTAATAAATGTATCATGAAATAAATGTATCATGAATCTGAAAAGCGAAGAACAATTTACAAAGTGAGCTAAAATTGATCATATGTTGAAAATATTCAACGAATTAAATTTAAGTACACCCTCACAAAAAGTCAAACTCATCCCCCACAATTCCTTTTCCTTTCCTTTGTCCACCTCCCGCCATGGAAAAATTAGGATCGGAACCAACCGCCATCACTACACCTCCACCACTGATCCAACCGCCACCAACACCTCCCCTCTCCTGCCACCGCCGTCATCACCACCACCACACTATTAAAAGGAAATCGACGACCCTTGGCGACCACGCCATCGCCAGAACCCACCTTACATTATTCACAATCATCGAGCACCTAATCAAAACCCACGTTCCCACATTCTTCTTCCTCCACCACCCACAAACTATACCAGGGTCAGGGTGTGTTTGGAATAATTTAAAGATAGAGAATTATATGAAAGCTTGGGAAATTTTGATCGGAATCAACAGCCATCACTCGAGCCCCCCTCTCCGCCGCCGCCACCACCAAGACTACACTACAAAACCAATATCGACTACAACAAAGCCACAAAACCTCCTAACCTTATTCACAACAATTCAATACCGAGTTAGACCAGTATATCAAGCATTTGTACTTAAATAAAAAAACAGAGTCATGGTAGTCATGATCCCGGAATAATGTAATCTAATTATAACAAGAAATAGAACTCACCAAGCACGTTGTGGATTAAGTCTAGGGGGTTGTTCTTCCTCTCCTGCAAGATCGGAAAGCTCTTCGACTCTTCCACCAAGAATACGTGGATGTGGATTGTAATCTAAATGGTCCATATCCTTTGGGATCTGGCTTCTGAGTTGTGGTACTTGGATTTGTAAATTAAGGAGAGGAGTAGAGTGTGAAGATGGGACGATGGAGAGGAGTTTCCAACAACACGTACACGTGTCTGTTTACATCCATCGCATCTCCTCATAACACCAGTCGAAAGTTTACATCAACACGTACACGTGTCTGTTTACATCCATCGCATCTCCTCATAACACCAGTCGAAAGTTTACATCTATTAATGCAGAGCGTACAAATATTTGAGCTAAACAAATATGGACGTGCACAAATTTACTCTATATTAAAACCCAATATCGTGGAAGTTTCCAACAAGTATCAAATAACGACGGGCACATTGCGGCTTTTCAACTTACATTTTTTTTTTCCTAAACTTTTATTAAATAATAACATATTTTAGGTCTCTCTTTTTAAAATTTTAATATGTGGTTTTAAACTTTATAAAATGTTATTTTCATTTTTTTATTTTATTTTTTATTTTCTAAACTTTTATGAGCGTGTTTGGCATTGAGTTTTTGGAGCGTTTGGGAGCTTCTAGTTTTTAGCTTTTGACAAAACGCTCTAGTTTAAACAAAAACATTCGTTTGGTAGTACGAGCGTTTAGCTTTTATTTTAAACAAAACGCTCCAAATCTAAAAGCTACTTCATGTAGCGTTTAACAAAACGCTACTGAATTTTTGAAATCAATTTCCATAATCACCTTTAAAAATATATTTATATATTTATTTATTTTTAATCAATTGTCCTTTTATGTAATTTTATATATTTTAAAAGCTTCCAGCTACTTTTGCCAAACACTTATATAACAAATAAAAGTTATAGCTCCCCGCTACCAGCTACCCGCTACACGCTACTCGCTAACCGTTACCAGCTACCCGTTACCCGCTTCCAGCTAACAGCTACTTTTGCCAAACACGCCCTATGTCTTTCTCTCCAACTCACTCAAAACAGTGCTACATCAGCACTATATCAGTTTTTTCATTCTCATTTCTCTTTTATTTTTCTCAACCCAAAACACATAAAAACTCATCTTTCCAACCCACTCAACCAGTGACGGAGATTGAAGTTTTGATTTGGACGGTCGAAAATAAAATATGTATAAAAATTGGAGAACAGGATGGCCAAAGTCAAATTTTATAGTTTTATGCCCAATATGTAAATTTTTTATTAGTTATGGACTAATTATATAAAAAAATAGGGGAGGGGGACAGCCCCTCCTGGCCCTATAGAAGCTCGGTCCTTGCATTCAATCAACTTAATTTTTAATTTTAAAATAAATACACACTAGTTAAAATCATTCAAAATTAATTAACAAAAACATTAAAAGCATACGAAACTAATTAAAAACATACAAACACAAATTGATACAAGTTTTAATGCATGAGGTACAACCAACTACTGTATGGAAAAATAAAAAGAGAAAGCTAGCGAGAAAGAAATGAAGCAAGTTCTTAAAGCCGTTTAGATGCACTGTAATCCTCTACAAGTTTGACCAACGTGTTGAAGGAATTGTATATTGGAGGTACCATTGTTTGAGTGACTTTGAAGTGTTCAAGTTGAAGAAATCGTGGGTCGGGGAGAATTATTGGAGGATGTGGAGGAAAAGCAGAAGAAGCATGATTTCCAGTTCCACCATTTGAAGAAGGGAACGTTCTTTCACCTTGATCAACATGTGGAAGATCGTCTTCAGATAGAGAAGGAAAACCATTTCCAAAAGGACGAGAAGAACCATTGTAGTCTTGACTCGACATCTATAAAGGGAGAAAAGAATTCAAGTTAGTTGATATGTTTAATCCTTAATTATTAATCCAAAATTTTAAATTAAGGCTAGGATCTATATTTTCGATTCGAATTCTGAAGAGGGATGTCGTAATCAAATTCAAATCTATTTTAGGTAGGTAAGCATTTACCAGTTTCAATCTAATGAAACTCCTAGATCTTTTGAGATTCATTGAACTATTCAATGACATATTTAATCTCGATTATGCTCTCACTTTGTGACTGGGATGTCGAGGATCACAAACGAGATGTGAATAACCATGCAAATTAGCTTGACACTCTCGATGTCATTTATCATCTGAAATTAATGTGCCGGTTAACCACACGCGCTCCGTTAACTCAACGATAATTTACGAGACACCAATTGCCAACAATATTGGTCCCATATTAGTGTGTCGGTTAACCACACACGCTCCAATAACGACCAATAAGGTGCAATGTGTAATTTCATGGGTTAGCATGAAATTCACATTTTTCCTAAAGTAACTAAGAGTGAGATTTTTAGAAAATAGTTTAGTTACTTTATCATTATACTTTTAATGAAGATTAAGTGTCCTATCAAATCTGTTCGGCTAACGACCCTCCACCATGCAAGAGAGCGGTGGGTAAGAATGGATACCCAATGACGGTCATTTTACATGCCGCTTCCTTAAACTCCCCTTATAGTATGACTTCGTGAATGTGGCGTACTAGCGATTCGACTGACTCGTCTTATACATATAGTAAATATTAAAATTTTAATCTTACATATAGTATAGGGTGTATTTTAAACATTTAAAACACTAAATGTTTAATCTTTTAATAAATTAAACATTCAATTTAATTAAATCTAAACCACAGATGACTTTATTAATTACCATTAATAATATCCATAAGGATATATTTTAGGGTTTATCATTTTAAATTTTCGTAATTAAGCCTTTTAATTTTAAATTTCAAACAACCCAAAATATTAATTATTTAATCCAATTAATAATTATCTAGTAGCCAATTATGGATATAATAATTATTCTTTAATTAATTAATTAATTAAATCATTAACCATATCCATAAAGATAATTGCAATCAAATAAATCATCATTATCTAATCCATAATTATCTCCTAACATTTAGGTTTTATTGAATTATCTTATATTACCAAAAATCAGATTATGGTAGAATTAATAAAAGATAATTATCAAATATTAACCTAGTAAATCAAGTTAGGCAAGAAAATCCGAGATAGGCATCAGACGCACTAACTCGTCGAGTTGGATGACCAAAATCAATGAGTTTATGCAACTAGACGAGTTCTAAGAACAACTCTACGAGTTCATTGAACAGAATATCGATTTTGTTCCCTTCTCCTTTGAACAAGATCACAATTGCATCTATTCAACAGAAAACTAATCCTAGGCTCTGATACCACTGTTGGGTTTTGAGCATAACATACAATTATATGTGTGCATGCAACCCTAAATTGATTGGATCTAAGTTTTCTCTAATTGAACATGCAAACTATGAACACAAAGTATAAACCCTAGATCACTAATATATAATCAAAATTCACATAAAGAAAAGGGTTATAATACATACATTTAAGATTGTTATTGTAAACAATCTTGAATCCTTGCTTGAAAGACCTTTGGTAGCAAGCGCCACAAGTGTCGCGCCTCTAATGGTTCACAAACAAACTCAAGCAACCAAGGAATACTATATATATAGAGAGAGAAGGTAAGAAGAATTTAGGCTATAAGCCTTTCTTAGGAGTGCATAGCCGAAATCTAACCCTAAGGAGGGTTTATATAGGTGTTAGCAAGGTACTGGATAAGGCAGGTGTATCCAAGATAACTCTAATCCCTTAACTTTCTCCCTAAGGCATCGAGGCACCCTTAGAGCCCAAGAAAACCCTAGGAGCATCTAGATTTCGTTCCCCCTACTATAGGGAGGTTCTAGAATTGCCCAATGCTCAACTATTGAACATTGTCACCTTCAGTCCCTACAGTTTCAATTAATTCCTTTAATCCCAAAATTAAATCCAAATTAATTTTTGATTAAATATTAATTAAACAATATGATTTCTAATTATTATATTATTTCCATAAAACATTAATAAATCATTTATTTTGATATCTAATTAATTTATTAACCAAATAATAAATTAATAAATCATTCTTCTCTCTCTAATAGTCATCCTATTCAATTGCCAGGTGTGAAGGAAACCCAAAAGGACTGTGCTACTATTAATTCAAGTTCAAACCAATTATAGTTATGGGCTTAGACACCTAATCCAACAAAAGTTCAAACCCTAACAATGGCGGCAACTAATGTTCATGTTAATCCTTCTCAAACCACTGATGATGTTACATCTCAACCTTTGTTAAAGATTCAGAGTACCAATTATCGAGTTCAACCAGATGTTTCAAAGTACCCAAAAGAGTTAAAGATGATAATCGTTGCTCTTAATCACTCTGTGCTTTCAACGGTGATGACTTCTTCTTTTTTTGTACCAATGACCAGGTTATCTTTGGTCGGTTCCACTACTGTGTTCAAGAAAACCTCCAAGATTGTCACATTCCAGCTCACGAATGAGAAAAAGTACAATCTCTCCAAAACACATGCAACATCCCCCTTTAGCACGTATCACAATATTGTCCGCTTTGGGCTCCCGACGCGAAAACTTCCCAGGGGGTCACCCATCCCTGAATTGCTCTCACCGGACACGCTTAACTGCAGAGTTCTTATGGGATCCGCCGCCCTCACGGATTTAAAATGCATTGTGACAAGGAAGGTATCAACACCCCTTATAAGGAATGCTTAGTTCTCCTTCCAAGCCGATGTGGGATTAGGTGTAACCACTTTCACCCCCCATTATAGCGTTCGACGTCCTTGTCGAACACATCAACCCGTGCCCTATATCTGATACCATTTGTAACATCCCCCTCTGGCACGTATCACAATATTGTCCGCTTTGGGCTCCCGACGCGAAAACTTCCCAGGGGGTCACCCATCCCTAAATTGCTCTCGCCCGGGCACACTTAACTGCAGAGTTCTTATGGGATATGCCACCCTCATGACTTTACAACGCATTTTAAAGCAATGAGGGCAGCAGATCCCATAAGAACTCTGCAGTTAAGCGTGCACGGGCGAGAGCAATTCAGGGATGGGTGACCCCCTGGGAAGTTTTTGTGCGGGAGTCCAAAGCGGACAATATTGTGACACGTGCCAGAGG